GCGGTGAGGCCTTGAAGGACCACCCCGGCGCTGCCCTTGGGTGCAGAAAACAAAACTAAATCAGCACAATGTGTTTAGTCACACAAACAGCAGAGGGTTTACCCAGCCAGCAGTGAAACACAGCCATGATAATGAGAACAAATCTGTGGGGGTGGTGCTGGTGGGGAGATGGGGTGGAAAGAGGGAGGTTTATTCTCCAGGGGTTTTTTTGTAATCTTCACTCACCATATTTAGTAGGCTTGTGACTTGCCCTTGCTAGATCATGGAGAATTCCCCCAAGTGTTTACTCCCACAACCTAGCAAATGCCTCAATACACATCATGGAAAAAATACAATCGACATCTTCACTCCCACTAGAGAAGGAATTCCGACTTGCCCAGCACAGACTGGGAGTATGAGCCTGTGAGAGAGACAAATACTGCTTCATTAGCTCCCCTCAGATGTGGTTTACTCCTCAAATGACCTGGTCAGGGCTGCACCACCTCCCTCCCTTCCTTCACCTAAGGAACCTCTGACCTTTGGTCAGAGCAGTGGGGACAGGAATGTGGGTCCTTTAACCCTTTCCTCCAACATCCGCCAGCTGCTCTCCATGCGGTTCACAAAGCTGATGGTCCTGGGATTTTCAGAGATCCAGAGATGCTGTGAAGGGCAGGGCCAGAGCTCTGCAAAACAGCTTTCTTCCTGCTGTACCCAGGGAGGTGCAGGATTTGGTGATGGAAAGCTGTGTCTACCATGTACAGAACATGGAAACAAAAGGGGAATTTCTGTGAGCAGAGCTCACAGATCACAGATTGCTCAGGATTACTTTGGCACCCCTATTTCAGAGCACAAAACTTTAGTAGAAAAAAACCCAATAATTAGGCCATTTGGATTTTGTCAATGTGTTCCCAAACTGCCCACATGAAAAGTGCACATGGGAAATCATTTTAATTTATCAAATGTAGAATCTCCTACAACTGCAATGACTATAGGTAGAGTAGAGCTGGAGAGAGGAGTTGCAATGAGAATGCTTCAGTGTTACTGATGATTTGGCATTTCTGGACAGGAATTTCTTTGCCCATATTGTCTGGGGAAGTGGTGGAATCACCATCCCTGGAAGTGTTCAAAAAACGTGTGGATGTGGTGCTCAGGGACACAGTTTAGTGGCAGGTTTGGTAGAGCTGGGGTTGATGGTTTGACTTGATGATCTTGGAGGTCTTTTCCAACCTAAATAATCCCATGATTTTGCAAATGGGACACACAGCACACAGCCAGCTCTCCTCTGCTGCTGTTCCCTGGTCTGTTCCCACCTTACCCTGGCACAGGGGACAGTGGGAGGATGGTGCTGACTCATTCACACCAGTGAGGTCTCGGAGATTGTGCAGGGAGCAATCACACAGGCACAAGGACACCAAAAATGCAGTGGAATTCCACAACACGTGTGCAAGTCCATGTGTGCAAATTTGCACAGGCAGTGACGATGACTAGGCACAGAGCATTGGCACGTGGTGTCAGCGCGGCTGTGACAGTGGTCTGAGAGCTCTCATGATCTTTGTAGAGCAAAAGGAACCTCAGAGCGATTCCAGTCACTCTTGTGCTACAGGAATATGGCTTTTACCTGTTTTCCCAGTGGCTAAAACCCATCAGTGGTGTGATATCACCAGTCTCTGCCTGGGTGAAACCTGTGGTATGGTGGCGTGCGAGAGATGTGGACTCGGGCTGGAAACACACGGTCTGCAACCCCTGACATTTCTCCAAGGAGGTGCATTGTTACACCCTTAATGTCTCCTTTGTACATCTTGCTTATGGTGCTTTGCACACCAAAAATCATATTAAATACTCTGATTTTTCCTCCAGCTCCTCTTTTTTCCTATTCTCTTTTTTTTTTTTTCCATGCACGTCCTTTCCTTCTTCATGAGGGGAAAGCACCTCTCTTCCCTGGGCAGGCTGAGCTATTGCAGTATTTGCCTAAAATACAATACAAACTTCTAATTAAAGGAGGGAGGGGATTGGCAAAAGAATATTAAAGCTTTTCAAGTCTCCTGAAATCCTTTGTGTGGAACAGCTCTGGGAAACGGGGCCTGCTGCCACCCTCCCCCTCTTGGGAGCATTCCCCAGGGCAGTGCCCGGGCAGCAGCTGCTGCTGCTCCGGGGGAGTCAGCCCAGCCTGACACACAAATAAATACCACAGGAGGAAATGCTTTCTTCCAGCAAAGACCTGGGGAAGAAACCCTGGATATGAGGAGAGGAAGGGAATGTACATGCTTTGCACCTAAAGAGCTTTGGGATAATGGGGGAATCTCGGTCTCAAATACAGAGGAGTGAGGAAAGGCAGGAATGCTTATATATGCAACCAGGTATGACACAGATGTCATGCAAAATAGACAGATTTGCATAAAGATACACCTCCATTTTCAATCAGCCCCTCCAACCGTCACATTTCAGCCTAAAAAAAAAGGGCAGACTTAAAGCACGGAAGGATTTAATACCTGAAGGTGTGGAGGGGGACAGATTCACATGAAAACCAGCTGGAGCATTTAGGGTGGAAAAGGGATTTTGGCTCTTTAGTCCTGATGCTCCTCACCCACGGGTGACAGAGGGTGGAAAATTTGTGTACAAGGTGAACACACAGGACTGTGTGTGCAGAGAGAGCAGGTGGCAGCAGGAACACCCGCCCAGTGCCGATCCTGCGTTGCTCAAGTCTAAGAAATTGTGTCCTTCGTTGCATTAACAACTTCTGCAAAGTCTTCATTTGCATTTTAATGGAACTCTTTCTAGGAAGGTGCTGCCTGGACTCTGTTGCAGTGTAAAATGAAGAGGTAATTAAAAACATGCTGAAGTTAAAAGGCATTTTGTTTTCTTTAATCAGGTTTATTCATGATCTTTTCAAAATTAAAGGTATTTAGGGTACGTGGGAGGAAACGGGGGGGGGGAAGGAAAACACATGATGGAACATCCGTTTATTTAAATTACAGATTAAAAAGTGAAAAATACACTTTCTGTGAGGGGACATCCTGGAGATTAAAAGCACCTTGCAGGAATGGATTTGAATAAAGAGTAGGTATAGGAGTCAAGACAAAGGTTCCAACAGCAGGTCTGCCTGCTTGAAAGCCAGAGATGAAGGAAACATATAGGACGAGGGAAAGGAAACCACGGAGGAAATTTTTAAACCTTCGTCACGCAATTACCCGGGGCAAATGACTGTGATTACACACCTAAGCCAGTTATCTATGCAAGCGGCCAGCCCCGGCTGGCCGGACACGTATTTCCCCAATTTTGGGCGCAATCACAGCACGCAGATGCCGATAAACAGTTTGTAAACGTTTTATCTGCCTGGACCAGCTCCTGCTTTCACAACCCAGCGACCGCACACGAGCGATTCCCCCGCTCGCCGCAGCCAACGCGCCGACCTCCTCCGCGCTCCAGACCTATCCTGCCCTGTTAAGCTCCGTCCTTTGAAATATAGGGCAGTTTCTGTCAGATCCTTCAGCGCGGCAGTCAAAAGGGCAAAAAACCCTGCCCTTTGTCGCACCGGGAGGTTTCTCCAGCGCGGATCTCTCATCTCCATCCGCTGTGATCTCCGTCCTCCCCAGCCACCGGCCATTACGGGGCGGGGGGGGCTCCGAGCGCCGCAGGGGCAGCACTTGATTTTGTATTATTTTATATGATTTTTATTTCGGGGCGGCGTTGTGTGAAATACACCTCAGCGCGTAAAAGAGGGGAAAAGTGGTTTGGTTTGGTTTGGTTTGGTTTCCCCCCTGCAAGGTGCCGAGGCGGCCCCGCTCCCACACGAGCCCTTGGGGCTGAGGGGACGCGCCCCGCTGGGGGAAAGAGG